TTTCATTTTTCCGCGTTTTTATCGTGTTATACTTCCGCGGAGCGGGGCGCGGCATTTCCGATGAAAATCGAAAACGACTTCGAGCCGCACTGACATGTAACTAGCACTGCTTTCATAACGTAACATATGACAATGTTCGCTAAGGTTAAGGGTACGGACTTTTGCAAGCACTTCCAAAAGTATCTCCACACAAATTCGAGACACAAGAAAAATAACTTATCCTTTTGAAAAGAATTCAGAGGTTAAGGGTAATAACTTTAACTCGTACGATATCGTTATGATGCCCTTGTGAGGTAAGTTAAGGATCCCTGGCCGCACTCATACCATACCGTCGGCACTCCTTGACACCCTGACCAACAATCTGGGAGTCTAAAGACTGCGAGCCGGACCACCACAGCGTGGCTGCGACGACGCCCCGCCCCGCCCCGCCCCGCCCCGCCCGCCCCGCCCCGCCCCGCCCCGCCCCGCCCCGCCCCGCAGACTTGTCCTTGATCTCCAATCGACACCCAGCCAGTGGTGCGGGCCGCGGGGCCGCGGGGCCGACGCCACAGTGATGCCACAAGGCGAACGAATTGGCGAGCGGCCGCCACCAATCAACGCGACGCCCAGCAAGGCTCCGTCTCTCTCGCACTCGCAGAGCCAGCAGAGCCTCCCGCGGGGGTGCGAGAGAGACAGAGCGACGAAACAGCCTGCTGCACCCAGTGGCCCAGGACCCGAAGCCGTGTAACATCGCCATTTCCCAGTTTCGGTTAGAAAGCACCCCACAGTGGGCCAGAAGACCGGTGGAGGCGGCCAATACTCTAGACGCGTTTTGAGCTTCAGCGTCGCTAAACAGGCCTCGAACCGAACGTGTGACCCCACCAATGGATTGCTCTCCGAACGAGGAATCCATTGGTGGGGTCACACGTTCGGTTCGAGTCCTGTTCAGCGACTCTGGAGCTCAAAACGCGTCTAGAGTTTTGGCCGCCTCCACCGGTCTTCTGGCCCACTGTGCGACGCGACCTGAGGGTCCTTCGTCCTTCGGCAGGGCAGGGCCTTGGGCAGGCGGGTGCTCGCCTCACTCGCCGCATGTTAAATCGCCGGCAACGAGTTCACCGTGTTGCATGTGTATGTGCGCATGTGCCGCGGCGCTCGGCATGCACACGAGTCCGTGCGAGAGAGAGAGAGAGAGAGAGAGAGAGAGAGAGAGACAGAGAGAGAGACAGAGAGAGAGAGAGAGAGAGAGAGAGAGACCGCGCAGTGTGAGTGTGTGCGACAGAGAGCGCGCGCGCTTCGTGATTGCCGTGACGCCAGCCGCCAGCCGTGACGTCACTAACTACGCCATCGCGCCGCGTCCCGGCCCCGGATTGGTCGCGGGCCGGTTTTCGTGCTCCAAAACGACGCGCGTACCGCCCCGCCGACCCGGAGTGCTGCCGTCGGAGGCCGGCACCGACGTCCCGGCCCGGCGTCGCTGCCGAGTCGCACCGGGCCAGAAGCGTCTAGAAGTCTTGAAAAGACGCCGCCATAGCGCGCAACCTATACGGCAGCGTAGCGTGCGTAGCGGCACCCCCGGCGTTACGGCCAACCCCCGGGCGCGCGCGCACACACACACCCACACGAGAGGATAGACAGACACATTCACCGACAGACAGACAGACAGACTCACAAACAGACCCTAAGACAGACACGCGCGCGCGCGCGCTCTCACTCATACACCCTCCCTATGGCCCGCGAAAGCAGTGCTAGCCTCAATCAAGTTCAGTATACCCCCCCCCCCCCCACACACACACACACAAACCGCCTACCGGAACGCCAACACGCCGCTAGACTGCAGCGAAACAGAAGAGGGGCATACACTAGTAGCGCTGCGGCAGTGCTGCGGCTGTGCTGAAGCGCCCCCTACCCCCACACACACACACACACACAAACACACACACACACACACACACACACACACACAAACCGCCTTCCGGAACGCCAACACGCCGCTATCGGGGAGTAGCGCGGGCAGACAGCGAGACTGCAGCAAAACAGAAGAGAGGCCTACACTAGTAGCGCTGCGGCTGCGCTGCGGCTGTGCTGTAGCGCCCCAGGGAGCGCGCCCCGGCCGCCCCGGCCACGCAGAAGCCTTGCGCGCTCGTCATAAACAACGAGAATTAGCAATAATTGAAGAAGAGAGAAAGGGCGACCGCCGATAAGCGAGACGGCCCCGCCGCTACACTGATTCCGAGTCGCTCTGTCTCTCTCGCACTCGCGGGGCGCTGCGTGCAGGCGCGAGAGAGACAGAGCGATGAAAACGACTCTCGGAATCAAGTCTACGGGCCGCCACCGCCGCTCGCGTCCGACAGCCACCGCATCCGGTATCGCGTGTCATTAGTGCGAGGCCGGCCGACGCGCAGAGTGGCGGGTTCGAATACCCGAGCAGTGAGTCACAATTTTTTTTCGGTTTTCCGCGGATTTGGCATTCGCTACTGTCCAGCGAGAACTTAACTGCGCTGAGAGTGTTAGCGTGACCCGATTTTGAAGTTGAGTGGTTTTTCGGCGAGTTGAGAGTCGGCGTGCGTGAGGTACTTGCACAGAGTCGCGGCGGCATTCGGTGCAGGGGGTCCAACGCGAAGGCGAGCACCAGGACCGCGCTGGCCTATTAGCACGCCGTCGAGAACGCGCCGCGGTGCCGCCGTGCCGCCGCACGCATGAGCACGGCGACGATGAGGGCCTTGGGCCGCGGCCGCACAGTGGGCCAGAAGAACGGTGGAGGCGGCCAAAACTCTAGACGCGTTTTGAGCTCCAGAGTCGCTAAACAGGACTCGAACTGAACTTGTGACCCCACCAATGGATTCCTCGTTCGGAGAGCAATCCGTTGGTGGGGTCACACGTTCGGATCGAGTCCCACGTAGCGACTCTGGAGCTCAAAACGCGTCTGGAGTTTTGTCCGCCTCCACCGGTCTTCTGGCCCACTGTGGGCCGGCCTCGGCGCGATGAGCGAGGCACTCGAAAAACCGCCCCATTCTCGCCATCCTGGCTCCTCCTGCCGCTGCCGTGGCCGAAAGCAAAGAGTGCGTGCGGAGGGGAAGGGCGTGCAGCGGGCGGCACACTGTGCGGCACACCGGTCAGCTGACGGCGTGCTTCGAGATTACGCGGGGAGGGTGGGCCCGGCCGGCCCGGCCGGGGCCTGGCCGATAGGGTGTGGCACACTCAGACACAACACGGCGGGGACCGGCGGGGACCGGCGGGGACTTGCGGGACGCCGATATAGACAAGACACCTCATTGTCTCGGACGGACACAATGCGCGACTGTAGCCGCCTTTCGGCCTCTCAGTTTGACGCCCCGTTGGCGAAGCGGCGAAGCCACGCGAGCGGGGCCGGCCTCTGAGCCACTCTGGCTGTCTCTCTCGCACCCCCACGGGCCCTACGGGGCTCCCCGTGAGTGCGACAGAGACAGCGACCACGCCCCGCCCCCTTGCACTTGGCGCTGTCGACCCCCAGGAGAGCCATTCCGAACCAAGAAGCGCTTTCGTCGCGCGGTCTCTCTTGCACTCGCGGGGCTTCGCCGGCTCCGCGGACGGAGCGACGGCGCGATTCGGCACCAGCCCGCTGTTGGTCTTCGCCATGCTTCGCGCTTCGCGCCTGATTCGCGTTGGCGCCCACCGGCCCGAAATAGAGTTCAAAACGGCGGGAAGCGCCGCCAAGCCGCCAAACGGCAGCAAGGCTTTACGGGGCACAGTGGGCCAGAAGACCGGTGGAGGCGGCCAAAACTCTAGACGCGTTTTGAGCTCCAGAGTCGCTAAATGGGGCTCAAACCGAACGTGTGACCCCACCAATGGATTGCTCTCCGAACGAGGAATCCATTGGTGAGGTCACACGTGCGGTTCGAGTCCCATTTAGCGACTCTGGAGCTCAAAACGCGTCTAGAGTTTTGGCCGCCTCCACCGGTCCTCTGGCCCACTGTGCGGGGAGGCGAGAACGGCGCGCTGCTGCAGCCGCCCAAGTCCGTCCGGCTGGTGGGCCTGGGGAGTTCCGGCGCCACGGCAGAGCCTCACACCCCGGGTACCGCAAAGCAGGCTGCTTTTCGAACGCTGCAAGCCACGCTCTGCGCGGAGGCCGGGGATCACATGGTGCTCGGGAGCGGTAAGGCTCGCGTTGAAGTCGAACGGCGGCCCTAGGCGGGGCGGTGCTGTGCTACGGTGTGGCGCCGCCGCGCCGCCCGATAGGGCAGGGCGACGCCGGGCCGCTAGTCCGCGCCGCGCGCTGCCGACGGCCAGCCGGGCCAGCCGACGGCGACATGGTGCCATGGCGCCAGTGGCCACGAGGGGCGGCGGCGCGTCGCGATAGCGACACGCATCGAGTGGATGATTTACCAAAGCCGAAATAGCATTAATTTGCTGCCTGGGCGACCGCGCAGCGCGTGCTCTGTCCCTCCCTCTCTCTCTGGCTGAAGTGGCGGACACCACTCGGTGGTCGTCCCTATCGCAGACGCAGCCTGCAGCTCGCACCCGTTTCAAATTTGCCGCGTTTTGTTGGTCAGCTGTGGGCGCGACAGTGGCGCTGCCGACCCGAAGCTGTCTCGGGCCGCAGCCGCAGCCAGTGCGCGCGGCCCGGACGGCGGCGGCCGACCACGGACCCACTTGTTGCCACCACTGTGTCACGAGAGCGATCCGGCTGACTGGGGCTCGAACCCGCGACTCGGCCGTGGCGCGAGAAAGACGACAACGCACCCGGCCGACGACGAGGAGACAGACCACGGCCCGGCCACGCGCTCGGGTTCGAGTCCTGGCGACGCATCCTCTGTCTGCCTTTTAAACTGCTGCCATCAGGTTGGTCGGGACCCTCTCCTCTCCTATCAGCCGGATCACCGCTGCACTTGAAGCACCTCCTCGAAGACGTCCACGCACTCGCCGGTCACATGTCACACGTGTCACGCGCCCGTCACGCGCCCGTCGCGCGCCCGTCACGTGACCCACTACACTACAACACCAGCACCACACACCAAGGCGACGAAGGGGGTACACTGGCGACGTACCGTATCGGGGGGTAGACGAACACTGTGGTTCGACTCCATAAAGATGAATGCTGCACTTGTTGTCTCACTCGCACTTGTTGTTGTTGTTTGTTGTTGTGGTTGCACTGGCACTTGGGTGGAGGTGCCCCGACGGACACGGCTCACGCTGCTGCGCTGTGGCGCTGCACAGTGCCTCAGTGCACACGATGCTCAGCACGGCGGCTTGTCTTGACTCCTGTCTCCTCGGCCTGAGGCAGCTAACTAAACTGACTGACTGTGCCGTGCTGTGACTGGCGGCCATGTCCTCCCTCTCTCTCTCTCTCTCTTCGCCCGCTTCGCCTGCTTCGCCTTTCCCCCTGGCGGGCGACGGAGAGAGACAGAGACAGCGAGACGAGGTGGGGAGTGGACTGTCGAACTCCCTTCCCCCTCCACGTCCCCGCCCTCTCCCCCACGCCCGCCGGGGCCCGCCACCCCCTGCCCCTTCCCCCCTTCCCCAGAGCGCGCGGCGTGGCGGGGCGCGGCGGGGCGCGGCGGGGCGCGGCAGTAAGCGGTGTCGCTCGGGCCGAACGCAGAGCCGAACGCAGCCAAAGGCTTGAGGGCCCGTGCTGCTGACTGAATCCGAGGGTCGCATTCGTCGCCGCCTCTCTCGCCACTCTTTAGGCGCCCCGCGTCGGTGCGAGAGAGACAGAGCGACGAAAACGACTCTCGGAATGAGAAGTCTGCTGGCAGTGCTGCGGTAGTGGATCTGAGCCCCGGCCGGGCCGCGCGGGCCGCGGCGAGCGGGGGCCTTGTGTCGTCTGCTCTTCACGTGTGTGAGTGTGTGTGCGTGCACGCACGTGTGTGTGACCGCGGCGGGGCCGGCAGGGCCAGGGCCGCCGCGGCCGGGGAATAACAGTGGAGCGTGGCGGCCCTTTCGAGGGAAATGCGTTCACACGAGCGTCGTTAGTACAAGCCGGCGCAGGTCCGGCTCCTTTTGCGTGACTGTACACCATGTCGCACACGCGGAGGCCTCACGCCGATTTCGCATTATTTGCCCAGATGTTGGTATTCTCGAAATGACACGCGGGCTCGCGCGATGTCCTATTGCGTGTTGTCTACGACTCCGGGGCCCGCTGCTGAATTATTCCGAGAGTCGTCGCTCTGTCTCTGTCGCACTCAAGGCGCGTCCCTTGCAGGTGCGAGAGAGAGCGACGCACACTGTGAGCCGTCTGGCCGGGCCTGCACCGGCTGCACGACGCTGCAGGCAGTCTGTGGCGCCAAAGGATGTCACGTCGGAGTCGCGACGCGCCGCCCGCTGTTGTTTGGATTCACGCGGGATAAAAATACGATATGCCGCGACGCCCCCCCCCCCCCCCCCGGCGTGGCTGCGGCTGCCTGACTGGCAGGGGACGCCGCCGCGACCGCTTTGCTGCCATCCCTGCCGTGTTTTGGTATCAATGAGCCGACCGCGTGTAAAGTCGATTCTGCTTATGGTGCTGACCGCGGCGGGAAGAGGGAGGAGAAGAAGAAGAAGGGGAGGAGGAAGATGATGACGACGAAGAAGAAAAACGAGAATGGTGAGACCGCAGAGGGCAGCGTAGATTCATCACAGAGCCGGGAATCCCGACTTGGGGCGGCGTTTCGCCCGTTTCGTTCGGGTCGACTCGGACGCTGCTCGGACGCTGCGCGCACGCGCGGACACACACTAACACGCACACACACACACACACACACACACACATTAACACCAACACGCACACACACAAGCCTGCACTGTGCGACAATGTGCGCGAGCCGTTCGGAGCGCGTTTTCAAAGTGAAAGACTGCGGCGAAATTTTTCTTTTAGCACACGGTCCAGGACGTCGCGCTGCAGCATTTCGTCGCTCTGTCTCTCTCGCACCCACGCGAGACGCCCATAAAGGACGAGAGAGGCAGGGCGATGTGCTGCCGAATCGCTCTCTGCCGGCGCTTCGGCGCGCTGCGGGCAAACGACCCGCCGCCCGTCCGAGTCGACCGGGTCAAGAGCATCCAGTTGAAATCAAGACAAGCAGCGCAGCAGGCTCATTCTGAGAGTCGTTTTCGGCACCCTCGTCTCCCTCGCACCTGTATACGCGACGCCCCGTGAGTGCGAGAGAGAGGGGCGAGTCGGAGTCAGTGTGCTGCCTACTGTGTAGCACCGCGGCAGCAGGACGCCCTGGCCGCCACCAAGGTGGTCACCAGCAGAGCGACTCTGCCCAGCAGCGTGTCGTCGCATCTCTCTCTTTCGCCCCGACGGGCGGCATGAGTGCGAGAGGGACAGAGCGACCAAACATTCGGAACCAATGTGCCTTCTGGCCGCTACTCAGTGGGTCCAGGGCGACCGTCTTCCGGGTCAATAGACAACAACGCGCTCACTAGGTGCAAGCCGCACGCGACCAACGCCTCAAGCAGGGCCGCAGGGCCGGCAGGGACCTGGGAACCACAGGCCGCAGAGCGGGCCGCCTGTTCCAAAGTCTTAGTCTAGGGTCAGTACATTACATATAATACATTCATTAATAGGGTACTTCGGAGAAGATCTGGAGCGGAAGTTGAGAAGACATCAAGAAGAACAAAGTACGCGAAATGTGTAAGAATATGAGCGTCTGCGTCGCCGTACTGCCGCTTCCGCAGAGTTACATTCTCATACAAGTCCGGCGTTTCTTCTTCTTGATTTCTTCTTAACTTCCGGTCCAGCTCTTCTCCGAAGCACCCAGAAGTCGTGCCCCCATACCGCCCAACGTGCGGCCAAAAGCTCCCCTGTCACTCAACCATTTCAATTCGCAATTCAAAAATTTGTAGTAGTAGTGGTAATCATTCAAGGGACAGTAGTGCGACAAGTAGCTCCATAGTGACTGATCGCTGTGGGCGCCCCGCCGCCGCGCCCCACTCGGCCCGCTCAGTCTAACCGCGAAGAACTCACTGTCCGGTCAAATGGCATGTCACTCGCTTCACCACAACAGTAAACACATCGCCACAGGTGGCCATAATGTATCAGCGGCAACCACGGCTGCACAGCGTGGCACCGCGTGGCACCGCGGCAACTACAGCGGCAGTCTGGCCGCCGTGTTTTGGCTACGTTGTCCTTGACGGCGGCGGCCTCGCGGGCCTCGCGGTCGCTCGCGGTGCTGCGGGCACCTCGGCTCGGCCCGGACAACGACCTGTACCACCTGTACCGCCTGTACAGCTACGGCTGCATTTCCCGAATCAGGGGTCAGCCCTAAAGGGGGAGCATGCCACCGGTACCGGAAGAAGAAATGAAAAATTCACCAATTAGGACCAAACCTTGGGTCGGTTTTCGTCGTTTCTTCGGTGTTATGTTCAATGTGGTCTCTTTCGGCAGTGTAGGGTGTGGAGGTCCGTACGTACGTACTTCTGGGACGACGGGCCGTCGTCTGCACATATGTATGACTTCTGGGAAGGGCCGCCGCGAACAGGCGATCACATTCAAGCACTTTGTCACTCTGTCCAAGATGATGACGAGAGTAGCGGCAAGCCCTGAGAAAAGTGTGCCGAATAGAAATGAGATTGTAAATTTCAAAGTTGAGTGTATCTCCTCTGAAACTTGACCCGCGCAACAACCCACGGTGGTTGCCAGCCCTGTTGCCCGCCTGTTGCTCGCGCCCCTAGTGCTCCATGAGCCTGCCCGCAGTGTCCCCGCGGCACACGTCGGGTCCCAAGTCCACTCTGAGAGCCCTTATCGGGGGAATCCGTTTGTGTTTTGAGTCCGGCGTGTTGTGCAGCGCCACACACGCTCCAAAAAGACGAGCGCGTTAAACGCAGATAAGCACTGGCCGAGTAGCCAAACTGCATGTCATATAGTGCCTCACTTCATGGAGTCCCCGAGAAAAATCTGGGTTAAAAGTCGGGACGCGCGCTGTGGTTGCTTTTGTTGTTTTCGTCGGGGGTGGATCCACTTTGTGGTCACCGGAACTGAGCCGAGCCGTTCGCCGGGTGCTCCGGCCGGCCGGCGGGTCGGAGCGCCCAGTTTAGGCGGCGCATGCTCCGAGCGCCTGCTTGTTTTGGAGCGCGCCCCGCCCGGCCGCCCCGCCCCGTCACGGCTCGGCTTCGGCTCCGCGCGACAACCCCTCCGGGCCGTCCGGCCGGGCCCGAGCGGCATTTGACCACCGCCGGCCGCCTAGCCGCGCCCCGGGCCCTTGACGTCAGACGTCAGCCCCACGCCGAGAGAGGGTGGGGAGGAAGGAAATGAACGTCGTGCGTTTGTTGATGGAGCACAACGGAGACGCTGATTGCCATCCACAGGGCTGCCCAGGCCTCGGCTAGCCTCGGCCCAGGGCGAGGGAGGGACAAGGACGACACGTCCTAGCCTCGTGGCGCCACCCGGCAACACGCCCTGCACAAACCCACGTAACAGCGCAACGGTTTCCCGCCGGACCTCCGTCGATGCTCACTTCTTTTTCGACATTGGCTCGTGTTTTCGTTTGGAATGTGTGGCCGCGTCACTTTCTTCGATGCAACGGGACGTGCGGCGTGTTGGTAAACCGAACTGTACCGTTATCGCGAGCTTATCACAAGTCAGGTTGCGCACATCGCCTGATAAGGCCTCGCGCCTTGTACCCACCTGAGAAAAGGTGGCAGTATATTGACGTCTCGGCGAGTGTTTCTGTGGAAATCGAGTCGGCTGCTCGGGCCAACTTGAGTTTTTCAGCTCGTGTTCGGCCACAAAGGTGGGCTCTTGTCAATGGTGTTGAGCCTGGTGCATTTTCATCGTGACACGGGAATTCCCTTGATGTCAGCAGGGGCATCTCCAGAGACAAGATGACTCTTGAATGGTCAGGCCAGGCGGGGCCTTAGTTTGCAACTGGTTCGTTGTGCACGCCTCTGCTGCTGAAGAGTGAACACAGAGCTCAGCTGCGAATATAGCTCATGGTTTCAGCATAATTCGGCGCGATTCATAGAACCGCAGGCGCGCCTGCGTTGATGACACAGGCATGATCCTCCTGACAACGTTGGGACTTTCGTCAGCTCGCCCGCCAACTTGTCAGCTCGTCGTCAGTCTGTCCGCTGGGTAGCCTGCCCACCTGCCCGTTTTCTTTTCTCGCTAAGTACTCGGAGTTTGTTTACGGTTCGCTGCTGAAAATACGCGCGCGGCCCACTCTACACTTCCCGACTGCGTTGATGGGCCCCGCCCCACCCCGCCCACCACGCTGCGCCAAGGCCGGTGTGGGTCTAAACTTAGGACTGAAATCCAAGAAGGTGCAAAATCGAGCAGGTGTTAGGTTATGGCTTCCAAAACAAAAACAAGGCATGCCGCTCGGACGGATCTCTGCGCTCGGTGCAGCATCCGACTTGATAAATAACGAGTTTGCAGTCACGACCACGACCGCCAGGGGGC